ACGCGCTTTAGGGCCTAGCATTATCATACATTAAAATTAAATAAGTAATATCGGCATACAAACTTAACTACATATCTGAGAGCCACCGGAGCCCATTTACTAGCATCACTCACTCTGTACAACTCTCTGGACTCATCAGATACCATAAGTACCAGGGGAAGCGCTAGACCCTATTGACTCGACTATATTCTTTGGCGTAACTATAGATACCAAACTGCAATGGGGAACCCATATTAATAAGCTGGCGACTGGGCTAAGCTCAGCAGCTTCTGTTGGCTGTGTCATTCACTTACAAAAAATGTAAAAAAATATCACGCTGAGTTTTTATCGCTGGATCTTCTTTGGTCAGTTTCTTTTCTGAGCCGGTAGTAGTATTTTAACAATCAATAAGCGAATGTATCGCAATAAGCTCCAATGTTGATTTTGAATATCAATCTATCCCTTGATAGTTGCGTGCTATGGAAGGCAGCTCAGGATCGCGTTTCTTAGCAGTCTGTGGGGGATTCATATGTTCAGCAGGGGACTAAAACAGACAGAAATGGTGAAATGGTGATGACGATGACGATTATGAGATTTATTGATATTCTAAGAAAAAGTACTAAACGCTATCGAAATCGTTGGCTGAGGATAAACCTCAGCCAACGATTTCGATAGCGTTTATGACATCATGACATTTTATTTTATTTTTTAATTACCTGATATGAGAACTTATATAAAGTGATATAAATCAAAACATTGTTGCAATAATATTCTCATTATAAGCACCAAAAGAATGTTGTTTACATACAATAAAACAGATCTTGTAAAGAATTTGCCAATGTACCAGTAATTAAATGAACACCCGGTTTGACTGGTGATGTAAAATTTTTGGTGCATTACTTTATCTTATTACCTTTTAAATGTTATTGTTGTAGCTATCAACTTTAATTCTCCTTTCCTTACATTATTAACCGCATAGTTGCTATAACTACAAGTATACAGAATATTTTAAGAGTAAAATACAAAACGGAACCTTTATTACATGGTACTTTCTTTTACTTATGTTATATTTATTTAATAAAAAGTTATAACTGCTTTATGATATGTATGTACTAAATAGTATATTGACTATTTTTGTATGGACAAACAAAAATACCAGTATAATTTATGAATTTAGGATTAACACTCAGATTCATGTGTACAAGTACCCTTTGAAGGAGGCCTTTATTGAGCAGAATACAAACGAAGCTAGTAATAAAAAGCTGGCCTATTGTCGTGATTCATACATATATTATTCATTATTCAGTTAGGAAATATGAATGTACATTAAATGTGACACATAGACATTGTTACTTTTCCATTAATTCAATCAAAATAAGGTTCAAACATTCTTAAATTTAACACTTGATGACTCGACAGAAATTGGAAAGTAATATTTTTTTCTTAATTTCAATAAAAACTTGTGATAGTTTCAATACGATTGTGACAGATAAATGGATAATAAGAGCCGTAACAGTTGCCCAGTATCCGGGCGCTTGATTTTAAATCATTATATTGGAACAATCTTAGTTCAAATCCTGGTGCTGGGGAACAATGGTTAACCGTAATTTTGACAGTAGACATATCACTTGACCAGCGGCGAAGCAAAATATTGTGAGAAAACCTGGATATTTTCAAAATAATAATAAAAAACAAATGCTTCCTGTAGTCTGGAATTCACGGTGGGATTGCCTTTACGCCTCACAGAAGAAGCCTTTATTAATATACAAGATTATATAAATGCTAAAGTTTTAGAAATATACAGTGATTTAATCGCATAATAGACATTTTTTAGTCCGGAAGGATGGCATCTGAGCCAGCGGTCCCGGTCATGGTAAGTGTGGGCCACTGGTTACCTCACCCACCGGAAGAAACGCAAAAGCCAAGGCAATACAGGAGACCGGTGTGAGGTGGACGCGTATATTATAATTTCTCGTCTAATGAATGAGGTAACTGAAGCCCTCGTTTCAAATGTTGGCAACGCATCTGCAATCCTTCATGTTTTGTAAATATCAGTATATCGGCGTTATTTTTATTGGCTAGCTTTTACCAAAAAGAAACAATACTTTACGTCACGCTAGTTTTCTCTGAGGCCATGATACTTCAGCATTTTAAGCTGGCCTATTTGTGCCGATACTTGGAAACAATTTTAACCTACAACAGCTATAGCTATATATAGTATATTTTTTCTCTAGTAACTCTGCTAGGGTAACAACAGCTGCCAGGTGTTACCTTAATACTATAAGTTCTGGGCACTCGATTTATATTCGCACAGTAAGATCTGATATGTAAACTGTTGCTGGTAACCAATTTTCGGACGCAAAAATTTTCTAAATATACGCAATTTTCCAACATTTTGAAGGATATTGTTTCCTTGCTTTTCCATGGGATTTCCTCCGCGATATACCGAAGAAGGGTGAGCTACTAACAGTTGTAGTCAACGAGGATAATAATTGGTAGATGCGTGGTCATAGAAAGGTGGAAATATCAGATAGTTTTCGATCCCTACGTGTAAGTCCCAAGACATTGTGAGCTTATATCTTTGTATGAAAAGACGTGGTCAAGAGGTAAAAAAATTAAAAACAACATATATTGACTCCAAATCTTCTAACTTCTTCTTCTATATAATTACATCAAAATGAATTGCTGTTTTTTAGTCTCGTGAACGGCTGAACCGATTTGGCAAATTTTGGTTTTGAAATATTTTTGGCAGTCCATGGAAGGCTTAAGTGGTTATGGAAAAATTGCATGCTAAGATTCACAAATTCTCTAGAAATAATTTATATGGCAAAACAACTTTTGCCGGGCTAGTTTCGAATATGTTTAACTAGTGGTATATATATTTGTAGTCATACGTAAATTATAGGGTGCACTGTTATATCGCATTTATATATACTCTTAGCCAACGCATTATTTTGTATGAACCACGAATTTTCTTATGCGAATACGCGGCAGGCGGGTTACCTAATGTTCATTGTTTAACAGCCGCCCATTGTCAATTGCAACACCCTTACGACCGGTTTCTGAAACATTGATCATCGTAGATGTCAACTAATCAGCTGTCAAATGGTTTTCAAATTTCATTTTAGTTGCCAAAAGGATGGCTAAACTCCTTGGATTGAGCATTCTGATCATTAGAAGATCATTCTGGTCAATTCAGAGAGTTAAACCGTCCTTTTGGCAACTGAAATGAAATTTGAAAAGGCATTTGACGGTTGATTAGTTGACATCTATGATGATCAGTGTTTCAGAAACCGGACGTTAGGGTTGCAAATGCGTTGTCAACTTTTAATAAAGTGGACCCAGCTTCCCAGTCACCACACGAACCTCAGAAGACACTTCCACTTCACGCCGGTCTTCTGCAAGGTCGTGGTACTAACCCAGAGAAACCTGCCCATTCGCGCAAACAGCAAAGACTGTAGCGTGGCCGAACCATTATGTATTATTATTAGAGATCAAAACTTTAAACCATTAACCAACCATCCCACATTTTATAAATGTATATGGATATATTGCGTTGATTTCGTTAGAAAGTTTAGTTAATGAATGGTCATTAACAAAACTTTCTAACTTAATCAATGCACTATCATTAATTCACATGCAGTGATATTAGGGCGTTAAACAAATTAGAAGCAACTACGCTCATGCAGGTAACAATTTTCACTGACCAGGGAGTTGTCCTTCAGGAAATAAGAGCTCGATGAGTCGCGCGGAACGCGAAAGATGCTCGCTGTTTAGCAGAGCGTAGGTAAAAGTAGTCGACGATGCGTGACTGGGGCTAGTTGCTCTCGAGATGCGTAATTGCCTCGTATAGACTGCATTTAATGCACGATACTGAGCGTGCTTAATGAACGCACCTGCATTCTTTAAATTTAGTTGTTTTGCCACAGGAGAGAAGAGATAAGAGCAAATGGTTCACCCAATGTTTTCTAATTAACACAAAGAAACAACATAACCATATAATATCCGGAGGGTATTGACTTATATATTGAGGTATTGACTACAACCTCTTTAAATGTTGGCCAATGTTATCTTACTCGCCGGATGAAATGAACTGTAAAAGTATAAATATTTCTTTATTCTTTATTTCAATGCTGCTCATCAATTTACCACAGTAGTCTTGTTTAGCAACTTAGAGCTACAATAGTGCTATGTTGGTTTTAATAACATAGAATGAGCATTCATTAGGTAGACTCGGTGTTATCCAATATTTAATAAAACGTAGATTATTTCACTAATAATATTTATTGTATAATAACAAAATACACTCTATAATAACTTACAATACACAAATCTAACTTTTATAAAATCAACTGTATAAACAAATATAATGCCTAAAATAATAACACATAATATTTACAAATAAATTGGCAGGTTACATTCGATTAACTAAAAAAAGAAAGAACGTTTATCAAGCGATTAACGATTTAATTTAAGTGAATTCAATTTGGATATGAATTTATCCAAAATGTATCAATAGGATTACACAAATATTTAAAGAATATGTTTTCGGTCAATCTGCAAATTTTATTTCAGAAAGAGATGATTTATATAGAACGAGACGATAAACAATAATTTATTCATGTAGACGACTGTACATTGCACGTTACCTTTTGGTACTATAAATCGTTTCATAATACTAACTTATGAACGTACTTTGAAGACGTAGCCGCGATAGCCTTAGTACACCACCTAGTACAGTGTTCAAACAAATTCACTGATTAAGTAGTGGAAAACTAACTTTAATAGTAAACTTTGTTCACCCTATTATACCCGCAACGCCATAAAACGCCTAATTGCCTAGCAAGTCCATCGGTGTATGCATATCCATGTATACCGACAACATTTTCCCATGAGGAATTCTAACATTAATTAACTTTCGTAAGAGACACGATAGAATATGAACAAACAAAAATATTGGACCCTAATTTGCCCCGCCAATGAAATACGCTCAAGAGACAACTGAAATTAAAATCATCTTAACAGTTTCCTATTCTCTTGCAGTGCGACCGGTATTCGCTGCTCTCTTTATCCTCGTCGAAGTCCGCATCGTGGTACTTGTGACGCTGGTATTCCGACAGCCTGACGGGCCGACGGGACTCTCTCTCCCGCGAGCTAGGCCTCCGTTGCGGCCTTCCCTTGCTTCGCTCCTGATGCGACATCCGCGATGGCCGCCTAAAACGATTGCGGGCACTGCAAGCGAAGGTGTTTCTTAACTCACCAGCGACCGTAAGAAACACCAACGATCCAACAATGACATAACTCCGGTGCACGCAGATGGAAAAAAAAGTACTGAAGTCGAACTCATAAATATGTGATTATCGCGTTTAGTTTGTTGCCATGTCGTTGTGATGTTTAAAATTATCAAATTGTATTGCATTGTAACATTTATATATTTCTTTTTGAAGTTATACTACTTTTGGCGAGTTTGGAAACAATTATAAGAGAAAATATTTACGATGCGTGCGCGCATCAGCAGCCAAAAAGCATGATGTAGTTGGTTGCAATACGTCCAACTTCGACCAACTTTAGGATATTATCACGCCAACCAATAACTTTTTGACATTTACATATAATTCAAAGATATTCAATTATACCGTTATCAACTGCATTTAATGTCTTTTTCACAAACAAAGAGTAACTGGCACAGGGAATCAAATTTTTAATTATTTTTCTTTTGTTACGCTATAGAAACATTACTTCTTTCTTGCGTACAAAACTATACACAATTATGCTTTTTTTCCAGGGTACACTAAACCCAACTTTTAAAAGCAGGAGGAGAAAGCTGAATTATATTTATTAGTAGGCTTTATAAAATTCTGTAGTTAATATAAAGAAATACATAACAAAAAGATCTTTCCGTGGCCGATATTTTTACGTAAAGTTTAAGAATCTATTTGAATAAAGACAAGCCACATAAAACCATCTGTCATTCATAGTAAGAAAATTATGCCTGATCCTTGACACCTTCAAAACAATAAGTTTTCAAAGACTTGGAGTAGTCAAACGTCGACGACGTCAGCGTTTCTCGGTTTCGATTTCCGCTTTTTAGTAAAGCAATGTACTCAATACGAGCAGATAACCTTACCTTTTAGGCCTTTTGCTGCTGTACATAACTTTGGTGCTTTCCGGGCGCGGTTGGTAGTCGTCGTCGTCATCAATGTCGTGGTCTAAATCGTACTCTTCGCGATGAGGCCTCGAGTGGTGAAACACGGGCCTTACTTGAGGCACCGCTACGGGGTACGGTTTTGCCACCGGTACTGGAACCTTGAATTGGAACGAACAGTTCGGACAGAACAGACACAATACGTGAGGTGATATAACCAAGAACGAATACCAGGTGTCCACAACGTAACCACACACAACGTGGCTGATGATATAATGCCATCACCATTCTACCGATCTAGCGATTTTCTAATCAAGTTAAGCTGGTCTCCGTATACAGGACACAAATGTGTCATGTGCAAAGTGCTATCAAATGATAGTGAAAAATAATATTCATACATGATGATATATTAGAGAGCAAACAGAAGTTACAAACCTTTAAACCAAAGTCTACGTGTAAGGTGAAAAGACTAAAAATTACATAAAAACGTGTAGGAACTAGGTAGAAATGTTATTATTTACATAGTGAACCACACCATCTGAATATACGATTTTTAAACAGGTTTGTGACACCGAAAATATGGTGTAGATGCAATCATCATAAAAGAAAAGGTACTCTTGGTTGCAGAATATGAAAATATGCCATTGCCGTCATCACTGTTCTTTACATGATCAGGGGGTCAGTCGCAAATATTGTGTTAAAACTGTTTTTGAAGTCATGGAAAGTCAAAGTTTCCTAACGATAAGCGAAATTTTTCGGTCCAAATGTTTCTCTTCATGTCATGTATAAAATGTCATATGCACCAAATATTCAGAAGTAAAATTTGTATTCAGTTAATTAGCAATGTAAAGAAAGAGTCACATCCACACACAATGACCGTCAATATATTGATTCTCTTCAAGTACAATCTTAGCGTTTTGCTTTAACAACCCTTCTAAAACTAATTTATGCCAGGTAATTTATTTATTTTTAATCTAATAAAAGCTTTTCAACAATTACATATTTTGAAATCATCAATTATAAAAGCGATATTGTCGAATCGAATTCAAATTGTTGATCCTTAGCAGTATGTCGTTATGTAACTGGATAAATAATTCGTTGCTTCTTATAACCCACATCACAGTAGAGACTGATGAAGTGCACGTTTATTCTTATTGAGATCGCTTTAATTTCAATTGGATTACATAAATTTTAAAGTATAACAAATTGCACACGAATAACACATCTAGATTATATATTCATTATGTGTGGCGTGTGCCCCGGAAATAAATCAAGGAAAATATGTACACATATTATGTACAATGACCGTTATTATAACGATGAAGATCGCACACTACCTGTTTCTCAACAGGCACTGGCACGAGTTTCTCAATCGGATAGGGGACCTTTTTGTAAACGGGGTATGGTACGGGCTTTTCTATCGGTACGGTAATTTCTCGCATGACCGGTACCGCTATGGGCTTCGGTACGGGAACCCGAACTGGGTAAGGCTGCGGCACTGGAACTATCACTGGACGTGGCACTTCTATCTGCAAAATGATCCATTCATAGATGGAGAACCTGCCCCGAACTCGATGCAACGGAAAAACCCAAATCAATGAGGCTGTTGTATCGTGATTGACGAGTAAAGGAAGCTAACAAGCACATAACAATATAAATTCGTACACGTATTGACATGCGATGCAATTAAACATCTTGTTTATCATATTTAGTGGTCAATTTAACCAATTATAAAGCATGCTAGCAATCTAAATTGTAAATTGATCAATGCTTCGAGTATCGAACTAATATAGAAATATTAAAGTGAGAAATATTTATTTATACGAGTACATAACAGAATAGTTGAAATAAATATGTAAATTTTGAGATGTACCTTCTTTTTAATCACATTTTCATGTAATTTATGAAAAATAGTGTATTAATACATAACTGCATTATTATTCAAGGCAAATGGCTCAAAATAAGAACATTGCCAAGTCACGTGACTTCATGATTTCACTCTAGCCTTAGCAAACTAATACGCGTCGTGTTAATGACCAAGATGACGCGAGAAAATTAGTGCAAGTCGCGCATCGATAGCCACCGATCCGCATTCCATCACATACATTTTTTGCTAATGAAAACATCAAAAACCAGACAACAATCATCTCTATCTATAATTAATCAATGTGCGTATAAACAATGTCCTACTTACATGATACGGATTCAATGCATGCACATTCTGTGCTTCGGAAGCTTCGTAATCATAGCTTGGTGTGTCTCGATACTTGGATTTAATGTAATTCTCTCGCCATTTCTCAACAGCCTTTTTAAAACTATCCTCCGGGTCCTCGTTTCCAGAATATTGGAAGGTAGGAAGATACGAAGGATGTGAAGTGTCGTGATTTCTTAATCCCAGTAAGTCCTCTTCTGATTTGAATCGGCTGTTAAAGTTTTCTTTATTCCATTCGTTTTTATGCCTGTTGTATTTACCAGGTCTCTTATTATACTCTGGCCAATCATTGGCTACGCTGTCAGAATCTTTACCGTATCTAAAGCTATATGGTCTATTGGTTATATGCACAGTGTCGAAATTTTCTTCATCGGTGTATTGAGGTTTCGGAATATGTGTCTTGTACGAGGAATAATCGGTGTATTTAAAAATGTTACCCCAATTTGTGGTTGTTGTTGGCACGGTGCTGTAGGAATTTTTAAATTTGTTTAAGTAATCCACTGTGGGGCTATAATTGCTTCCATATATATTATACTTTGTTTCTTCACCGCTATCCGTGTTATAAATTTTGTTAGGTATTGGCTTCGGTTTAATATTTGAATAATGATTTTCAGGTAAGTGATAATTAGAGAAATCGACATTACTGCTTGATGGTATAACTTCATCTATGTTAGAATGATACTGTTTATTTGGTTCATTCACATCAAATTGGAAACCCGTGCGGCTAAAGTTAGTTGCATATTCATAAGCTTTCAAAGGATTTTTAACCCGTTTTCTATCATTACTAATGTTTTCAGGTGCCCAAGGCTTAAGTTTTACTTCATCTCTGTAATCATTATTTAACTTTTTACTTTTTAAATTATTTTTGCCATTGGAATATTTGTTTGCATAGCCTTGATATGAATATAAATTTTCTTTTTGTGACATTAAATCTTTATCATTATTTATTAATTTGTTATTATGATCTTCAAAGTATCTAAGGGTGTCGTCATTCACACTATTTGGCATAGATTTAAATGTATCCACAGATTTTTCTGTAACTACTGAATATTTATTTTCCGATTCTAATGTATCGTAAGGTTTAGTATTAATAAAGTCTAAAAGCTTAGGAAACTTTGATAAGCTTTGGGCATTAATTGGAGATGCCTTCATTGAATTTTCTGTTTCAGTTGTTGGATAAGTCGAGGCGTAATTATAAAAGTTTTGTTTGTTGTTATTAAAGTCATCATATGGAGATTTGTTGTCTCTAAAGTAATTGAAATCTTGATAATTTGATATTTTTGGGTCGCTTTGATATGATGAAACATCATTCAGTTCTGTATTGTTGTGCCCATTGCGTAAAATATTTTTATTATTGGAGCTTATTTTTGAACCGTACACTGGACTATTATTTTCTTCTGGACGGTGTCCATAATCGAATTCAGAAACAGAATTTTTATCATCACCGTCCGATTTAAAATTTGCAGAGTTGTAAACATTTGCATTATTGTACGGTAACATACTTGTTTGTTGTCCAGCGTCGCCAGTAGCAAAAGGCTCTCCGTTCAATGGCTGTGAACTACTTGAGAAATCATTATCCGGCGCCGACGGGAAGGCGGGCGCGTACAGTTTCTCAGAGGTCTCCTTGTATTTGTTGAGATGACTCGTGAGGTCCGGTGAAGTCGGGACGAAGCCGTCGTATGATCCGACATCGTTGAAGCCAAACGTAGAATACGTCAAGACGCTGGGTTGTGGCGCCGGATTCTCCTCGTCTTTCGGCTGCTGGTCTGTTTTCTTCTGTCTCCTCCCATCAGTCGCGTCCAAAACTATTGAAAGAGCGACCAAAACGAATACAACTCTACTGTACATTTTGTTCATGGATTCATGGATATGGGAGGACGTAAGCCATGGACATCGTCCGAAAGCGTTGGTGGTGGTCGATGTCCTAGTCGCAACTGAGCCGGGGAGTCGGCGAGTGCTCTCGGATTACCAACTGGCAGTGGTTCTGATTGCGATCCGAGACTGTCCTGCGAAAACGAAAGCGTTCACGCTCCACGTAACCGACAATTTTCCAGCGACCATTATCACCATCGGCTAGCAGGGGCTCGGTACGTTCAACTGTCGCGGCATTGCACTTGCTAATTGCTGCGTAGAGCGTCTTCCGTCAGTCGATACAAGTGTAATGAATTGCCGCGCATTTTGCTCTGTTTATATTTTCCAGTAAAATTAAACGGCCATTTGCAACCGGCCGCGGCGGCGTAATTTAAATTAATCATTTACGATCAATTTAAGACACGATGTGTAGGTAAGCTGCAAGTACATAGTTTTCACTCAAGATTCACGAGTAGTGATATAAATACATATGTGCCCTTTTCATCGTTATAAAGCGATCAATATGCGGCCCCAAACTAAATATTACACATAATTAGTCACTCTATTACTTTACTTTAATTTTTAAATTCCTCCTCAAATAAAAATTGCATAACTCCTAGTGTTAATTAAATATAATACAATTTACATTTAAAATAACTAGGTATTCTTCTTTACGGAAAATCATTTGAAGTAAAAGCGGACCCTTTATTTTTTTCAGGATATAATGTTAATATTGCCCATTTCCAAGGTGAGATATGAAATGGTACACATCGTATGCGGCCATTGTAAGGTACGCTCGTTTTTCCTACACTTTCGATACAGTTCTTACGTTGCGCGATACTAGGTGGTTCAATACTATGATTTATTTAATTATATATGTATATTCATGTAAAATATTCAAGTAAGTCAGATTTAGAAGATTTTTGTATATGTCAACGATTTAAAGCACGTTGGGTTACAATTAAAACAACATTTCTAAAACACTTTTATTGGTCTAGGTAAATTACCAAATTTTGATACAGTAACTATCATCGTCAACTTTATTATGCAGAGTAAATCACTTAAAATGCTAGTGTTTATTTTTATTATAAAACAATAACCAAGTCAATGGTCGCGAAATATAAATGAGTAGAATGTTTACTTTGTACTAACTTTTCTACAATGTAATTCACGTAACACAACACAAAAAGCTCCCTAAAATAATTATGTAAGAAGTGAAGGAATAACAAGTGGAATAGTGCTTATATAATACAATACATAAAAATGCTTTTCGAAGCAGTTTTTATTCATAATTCATATCAATATCAATCTATAGGTACCTACTCTGAAATCAAACAACAACGTCCATAGAAATAGTTACGACGGAACGAACAGATATTTTCACATATAAATTAAAAAAAAACTTTTTCGACGCAAATTCCCTAGTCTTTAGAGGAAGGCAGAAAGGAAATTAGAATCCGTTTCTAATTTTTGTTATATAAATAGATTATGAAGAAGAGAAATGATATTTAAGAGATTCTCATCATGAATTTTAACATGGCTACTTATAAATTTTTTAATCATAACAGATATTGAACTTGCTTAATCAGCCCAAACAAGAGCCTGAACCATTGTGCAATGTAACAAATATATATAATTCCGAGTAGCTATATATAATTTTTTTAACTTTGGTAAATGAAATGTTTTTCATACCAAATTTGTTTCATCTATACACAAGACTTCTTTACGAAATACTAAATTATTGCTTTAAAGTATTAAAACAATTTTGGATTTTTTTAAACTTTATAAAATAGGGAATCACTATAGATACATAAATATACAAAAATACTTTCATCTATCACTTTCATGAACACTTTATCAGGCGTGGCTACTGGTCAACTATAATGTATTTGGTACACATAATATATTGAAGAATTGTAAGTAGGGGATTTTAAATATTGAAAAATCTGTAAATAAGTATTATGGGATTTAAATATTTTTTTCCATTTATGGTATTACATTCTATTACCCAATATCATAAGATATCTACTCTGTTAATAAAATTTAAAAGTACTTACCACTCGTAAATATCTTAACCATATTCTCAAATGTTTAACATGTATCTACATATCTAATGTAGTTATTGTTATAAAATATGAACTACGCGAATCATTTAAATAGATAGACACTATTTAAGATATAGTTCTACATTGAAGGAGCATAACGAGAGAGTAAAGTTTACAAATGAAATATATCAATGTCAAGTGTGAGACGTTAAAAAGTTTAGAAAAATATTTTCTCTTATTTGAAGTCGACACTTACCCTTAATATTATCATAGCTCGAAGCAGTCGATTCATCAGTCAATCATTGTTCGATCAGTTACGTAGATTTCGGATTTAATGTAAAAATGGTAACAAACTATTTTTATTTAACTTTGCCGTTCTCCCGTGTTTCTTTCCTTAAAACTATAAGGTACAACAAAAATAATAAACAATTTCAATGACACATATCATATAACTACAACGCAAAATCGTTCTTTGATATCATTGTGACACTTTTAGTGACTTAGTTTCGATGATTAAGCTTTATCAAAGAATATCAACCGTTTTCCTAACCTACAAATAATAAAAAAAATATTTTATACCTAAAGCTTTGCAACTAAAGCATTAACATTTTGATTGCTCATGAATGCTTTCTCAATGGCATCAAATTAAATCAACCTTCAATATTTTATAGTAATTGCCTGGATATAAACCAAATTATTTAAAATCTCATTCAAATTGTTATCAGTAACACATTTCGTTAATCCGCCATCTAAAGAAAACATGTGGTAATAAGTTGACATTGTTTATACTGTTACCCAACAAACTAATAGATGGCGCTAGCCTCTAATCTTTAATATACAGACTGAAAGATTACTATAGATATTTTATCATTTAGAATGTTGATTAACTTACTTTGAACTACAATTCGCATGACAATAATGTGTAATGTTCTGTTATATGTAAATATAATAGAATGTTCCGACAGAGGTTTGCTATGCGTACGCAATAAGATCCTACAAATTATTAGGGAATAATAAACTTGAATGTTTAGTGCGCGGAGGCGGCGGGAGATGGCGTTGGTGGAGCGGCATGCCGCAGGCGCGCGCGAATCTCCTGCAAAGTGGGATTGGTGGCGGGATCGATTTCTTCTGCACTCTGTTCCGCTTGCTCCAGGCGGCGCGCGCGCTCAGCTATCGCCCTCTCTAATTCTGAAACAAATTATCATATAATTAAATACACATCCTTGTAGTATTGGGAACTTGACATAAGCGAAGTAAAGGATGGATTTCTTCTTTTTTCTCCCGCCATTGTAACACTAGCCATCTGTCTGACGTCAACTCTCCTTGGGAACAAACAACCAGATCCGAAACAATCATCGTGGGGTTACTAAAATATGTAATATTTGAGGTATGTCCAATATTAGTCCGTATCCGCGTCGAAGCCAATGACTTACAAAGTGCGCCACTAAGTAAGTAAATTGAAGGCATCAAAGATAATTTATCTAAATGAATTGTAGTCGGAAATTGTAATGTTGAACGACTCCCTCTAGATGGAGTAACGACCTATGCAAGTGCGTGAAGTCGATGGATGCACGGGGCTCAGGATTGTGCTTCGTGACAGTTTGTGAGGGAGGCATATGCTCAGAGTAGATTCAAACATACTGAAAAATGATGACGATAATGATGAATCGTAGGTCACCATTAACGGCCACATTTCCACTTGCTATCAACAAGCAACGTAGAGTCAAGTTTGTTGTTTAGGTTATCAAAAATTTTCTCTAATCATAACTTACCTCTAAACTGTGTTTACTGACGAAACATTAATTTTCGTGAGATATAAAAGGCTTACTGAGATTTTAGAAAGAACGGGTGAACTTTTGCCTTATTTTAATTTGTCTGACGTTATTGGTTTCAGTCCGCAAACTATTAAAGCTAGTAAGAACTCACAACCCACGTGCTCAAACACTAGCAAATTCGTTGACACCTATTAAAATAGTTTAGCAAAGATTCAATTTATAAACCGATCATCATCATCATCATTTCAGCCTGTTTGAGTTCACTGCTGAACATAGGCCTCCCCCATAGACTTCCCGCACATTTGCACAGGTCGTCACTCCATCTAGTGGGGGGTAGTCCTACACTGCGATGGCCAGTACGAGGCAGCCACTCGAGAACCTTTCTTCCCCAACGGTTATCGGTTCTACGAGCTATATGGCCGGCCCATCGCCACTTCAGCTTGCTAATCCTCTATAATCCGCTATGTCGGTTACTTTGGTGCTACTGCGGATGTCTTCGTTACGAACTCTATCGCGCAGAGAAATACCGAGCATAGCCCGCTCCATAGCTCGCTGAGCGACTTTGAGCTTCCTAGTAGCGCCAGCAGTGAAGGACCACGTCTCGGTTCCGTAGGTCATCACTGGCAAAACACATTGATTGAAGACTTTAGTCTTCAAACATTGAGGTATATTTGACGAGAAGATTTGCCGTAGTTTCCCGAACGCTGCCCATCCGAGTTGGATTCGCCGATTGACCTCTGCTTCGAAGTTGGACTTACCTAGCCGGACTATCTGTCCTAAATAAATAATATAAACCGATATGGTGTCGTAAAAGCATAGTGTATAATTGACGCACGAAAAACCGCCAAACAGCCTTTTTAATCACTTAAGAGCGTATTTCAATGTGACAAAAAGGAATGATACGATTTAGGGCCCGTACCGACTACCGTTCGAGTAACCATTTGTATGCAAGCGCGAAAATGTGCATCTAAACATTGAAGGGATATATTAGCATGCACATTAGCATGCGTGTCGGGCACGAAGCCGCTTTGACTGACCCGCATATATAACGATGTAATGTAGGGACTTTTGTTTACACAATTTATAGACGAGTTATATATAGTGCAGATGCAAGATGCATGTAGACCACGTTCATGGTCAATGTCTGATAAATTATAGATCAATCGAATCGAATCAATCAATCCCGCAATTAATTGTATGTCTGTCGATTTTTCCAGAAACGTCAAATAGGGCTCCACTGGCACTTAATTCTAGAGAAAGATTATCAGGCCGAGAGAAAAAAAGGTCTTTTAAATAAACCTTCACTAACGAACTAGGTAGGGCCAATCGAGTAATAAACGGCCGCTATGATTGTTATTTAGAGTTTTTGAAACTACATTGTGAGTACTGTGCATTAACTTTATCCAGTGTTGTAAGTTGTGTCGTTTAAAGTATACACAAATTTCACGTGTGCCAATACCCACATCCAGCATAATCACTTGCGATTCACTAGTAGCCGCGGCGACGAATTCAGGCCAACAGCCTAGGAATTATTGTGTCCACCGGTTTCATAAAATTTGTCTGACTGGTGACAAGCTAACTTAGCCATTTTGCACTGTTAACTTAGCCAGTTTGTAGATAAAACCAAGTTACAAAATTTGTAAATTAGTTAACAAAAGATAATACTTTAAGCATTTGATTTACACCTAGTGTGTTTTGTGTATACTCTTGATGTGTGAGTACTAAATAGCATTAATATTTATTGATAGTACTACTACAGAATAATAATGTAACGAGAAAATGAACACCGGGTCTTTAAAAAATATCGATCCAATATTTAAGTCCAAATAAATGATGTGACAATATCATTCAAATCTCAATTAAGATTTACAGTACGCAATAAAAATGTCGTTGTTATCGTAAGGCGATGTTATCAAATAGCTATCATTATTCGGCGTACGTTACCATGCCTAATGTTAATTAACTAACCTTGACTTCTAAGGTTATGTTATGAAATTAACAATTAAGCGAATAAAGCGAATAACCTCGAGGCAAGCGAAGTAGTGCTAACAAGTTTACAAATCGTAACATTTTATAACTAATTAAATTAATTAGTGTAACAGTTTTGCTCCTCTATAACGTAATATATAACGTTCGGACCGCTCCTTTTGCAATGTAATAAATTACCACTCGGTTCGCAGTCCGTACACATTATTCTTCTTAACACACAACATTAACATAATAAATTTAGACTGTCGTAGTTTTGTACAGATAAGTAAACAAACACGACGGGAAATTACTTTAAACAATTTTAGAGTAATTTTCATAAAAAGTCCGGCACGCAGTTGAAAAATGAAAAAAATAATTGTGGTTTGACGTGGAGTTTTCGAGAGCGCGAAAACGTGGCGAAGGAACGAAAAAAGACTTCAAGAAGAAAACGTCAGAGACGTACTTAGTTTAAACGCTATAGTCGTGCAACGGGGACACTTTGTTAATGGATATTTTTGTATATCTCTTAAAGAAGACCGTTAACTCATGGATATTGAGATGTACCGACTGCACTTCGTATAGAACGAAATTACAAAGACAGTCCGTATAAAAGAACATCGCCAGTGCGATTTTTTCTTTACGCTGTTGAACGCCAATAGAGATTAGGAGACAAGCCGGCGCCAGTGGCGTCGCATCTGCACTTTCGACTTGCATAAGAAGCTGTGAGTCGTTAAGCTGCGAATGACCTACTATCACAAGGAGCGGTTGTCTAATTCAAACATTGGCTTGCCATTTCGTATTATATTTCTGTGGAAGCGTTATAAAGGTTTTCAGAATTGAATAGGTTGTTAAACGTAACTTAACGTAATTTTCGTTTAATGGTTAACTGATACTGCCATACCTCAGTGTCTGGGCGCTCGCATTTAATTAAGTTCACTCACACCAAATCAAATATCTTTATTCAACAGTGTAATACTAGTATACACTCGCTTAAGGCCCATTTACACGGTGCAAGTTTCTTGCCTGTTGTATACAATTAAATTGAAGCAATAAATGAGTTGCATGGTCTAAACAGCACATAACATTCTTGACCGTTGAACAAAACTTGCTTCAAGTTTTGTTTCAAAACTTTCCTTGGTGTAAACAGCACACACAATAATTTCTTAAGCAATTCTTGTATTCAATTGCATTCTCTCTTCCTTTGCAAAAATTTGTGCAATGAGTGAAGGTATTTAATCGTGGCTGTTCTTTTGAGGAAAGAAATATTGAGAACAGGTCGGAAAAAAAGTTGGATAAAAAAATGAATAATAATATATGGATAATAATAAATAAATCTCAACGAAATATATTTAATCGGCATAATCTAACTTGAACACTTATTATTGAGCCATTTTTTTAAAAAAAACAGCCCTTTGTAAAACGTTCAACACTTGCATGAAAAATTTGTCAACGCAAATACGTGCAATACTTGAAGCAACACGCCAATAAATTGTACACGCACATACAAGCATGTGTTTAGACAAGTCAAAACTTGAAAGCAATAATCGCCTAAACATAATTGCATTGGTGTAAACAAAAGACCTTTGCAATTATTTCCTGTCAAGACTTGCATACAATAATCGCATTCAATTTTTTTTACTATATCTGCGTGTAAACTGTTGCTTACAATTCTTGGTGGTCAATTATTGCGTGCAACTTATTGCATTCAATTATTGCTCTTGTATGTACAAGAAAATGGCATCGTGTAAATGGGCTTTTATACAATATAGATAGTCAAAATACCACTCTACCGATAACATTGATAATTGTAATTTTAAGGGGTGATTTAACGCTTGGTGAAGGAAAACGCTGATAGTAAACCTGCATATTTTCGAAATATAAAAAAAATTCAAATGGTATGGCCGTTTGCTTTTGCACGAAGGAGCTCGTCCGGGGAAGTACCACGGCCTCGCAGAAGACCTTGTCAAAAGGAAGTATTATACTTTCGCATTTCGTTTGGGCAGCGTTAATCACTTAACGTCAAGTGAACCGCCAGCTCTGTGCCAGCTTTTTACGTAAAATATATCGTCGAAAATATGTGAATAATAATTCTGCCTAAATACACTCTGAGTGACGAACGAACGAAATGTTGACGTGAAAAACGTCTATGTGAAATTTTGACTACCCCCAGCGTTGACTGGAAGAGAAAGCTTATTACAATTTGTTTGCCTTTTGATTAGCCTTATGTTGAAGTAGAAATAATAAATTTCTTAATAAATAAATAAAAACCAAGATTAAAAACTAAAAAATACATTAATAAGTGTTATTTAAAAAAATATTATGGCTTCGCAAATGTATTATACTATTTTATTGCATCATATTTTAAGCAATTAAATGCTATTATTATTGACATCTATTAATAGTTTATACACACAAATGCAAGCTCCCGGAAACATTATCTATATTCAATTTAGTAGAGAGGTGTACAGTGTGTACTTGAGATTACGCATGTCACATTGATGTAACCTTATCTTTCGCGTATATCTATTGTGCTCGACAAATATGAAATATACTCTTGTCCTTGTCTTTCTATAAAACGTTAACGAATTCTTGGTCGGGCAATTTCGGCTTTAACAATAAATATATAAAAAAGTTTTGTTAAAATATTTGTCGCTAAAATAAATATTCTAATAAATTGTTTATTTGATAGTCTTGCTAATATTTGGGTCAAGGGTTATAGGGGTGCTAGCTAGACCTTGAACAATTGATTTTTTTACTTATCAAACTTTATCAAATCAAAAATAATTACGCTTCCATTTTATATTTAAATTTAGCTATTTTATAGCAAAATTTAATTAATATTTGAGTTTAAATTTTTAAAAAATATTTCTACTGGTTACAAACCACCAGACCGCAGGTTTGGTATTAAACTTTTTTTTACTTTTTCCGATTACCAACCATTTTATCGGTCACCGCTTGGACTACAAGACTTATCTTTGGTAACTTCCGGAAGTCTTATTGTATTATTATGCTCAACAAAAGTTTCAATTCAGTCTGTTTCCCTGAAATTCAACTTTTACACTAGCCGCGCGAACGAACTCGCTAATGTATCCCGCGGGAGGGGAAGTCGCCAGCGTGTTACTAATTATGACACGTCAATATGGAAGCAGGAACTTTAATCATTTCCTTGGATGCAAAAATGAAGAGTTCGTCGGTGCAATTGTATTAGCGTTGTTATCTAAGTGCCATTTTAAAATGTCTCCCACGATCTGCCGATCGGATAAACGGGAAGCGAGCGAGTGATTTCACTTTCATCCAACCTTGGTCATTGACATGCGGTTGTACGTGATTGATTAAACAAGGCGTAACGAGAGGGTGGCTGCCGTTACCTGCAGTTCCCACAGGTCAAGGCCTACCTATATTAGGTTCATTTAGATCAATTCATTATGTCGATACACGTTCGCAAACGTGAGCGCAAAAATGTATAAAAAAGTATGAAAATTGTTCGCTTCACACAATCTTTATATATACAATTATTCTGTGCGCGTGTGTTTTTGTGTGTGTATGTGACTGAAGCCCTCCTAAATAGCTCAGCTAATTTCGATGAAGTTTCACAGGGCAACGTCTGTCGGGTCCGCTTTTAATACATAAAATATGAATTATTAATCAACAAAACCATCATATCCGGTACCACACAACTGTTCCGTGCTCATAATCCGATTAAGGCTAAATCCACTGGGATTTGAACCCGCGACGGCCGCCTAAGGAAACAATAACTACGCGGTTCGACGGGGTCGTCGGCCGCGCGCTGCACCTGCGCCCAGGGACCGGATAAAGCGCCAGCCCGAATATGCAACGAGAGCAAAACGCTGGCCGGGTGCGAAGTGCGTTGGAACAAGACGAGTTTACAAAACAGTGCCAGCAAAAGCGACGGCCGTGTAATGACTTGAAACCGAACGACCTTGCGAAGGAATCCCGCCTTAGAAGGCCTGTCCTATATAATTGCGTGAAACACGTCTTTGAACATTGTAAACACGACCGTACTTTTTATAATTGTTCCGATTCATCAATATGCAATTGCTGTAGCCGCGGCTCTTATGGCTCTTAAATATCTTAAGGCTTATGATAACTGTGTGACTGCATTTTTAAGCGGTTCCTCGTACTGGTCTAAATTAGTGAACCAGTAATATATTTTGAAATTCATAATAACGTGCTTCAAGCAATGTTATGCAGCACGAAATTAATAAAATATTTTGACTTAAATGTAAACTACGAACCGCCTAAATGTTCATAATTTTTTTGGTATTTCAAGTCCTTTAAATGACTCGAACCAAGTTATATTTATTTACATAAATATTAGTATTAATAATTAATAGACAGTTTGAATATTATTGCTCTGCAGTGTAATTAACTCAAGTTATTTCCCGTTCTTTTCGTTTTGTTTGGTTTTGAGCCGTAAACAAGTAAAATACTTAAGTTAATTGAATAATATAATGATTGCTAAAGGGATTCATTAGAAATTTACAAATAAAATATCATATACGGTGAATGATATTCGTATTTCTTGTCCCGTATAGTTTAACTGTCCTTTTTCTCCTGCTCCCTTTATAAAAGCAAACAAAAGACTGAGTTAATGATAAAAGCATTCCTTTCCAGTGTCCTTCCATTATTAAAAGCTCGTCGCAGGTGCAAATTGCAATTTTTTTTTGAGAGAAGATGGCATTTTAGGGAACCATTTATCTGTTGTTTACCCGCCCCGACAACATCCACACAGTTGTGACGCCAAATTTAATGTCCATTAACCAAGGGTTACCAACCATACTTCTTAATAACGTATCCTATTTTATTCTTTGTAAATACACGTTATACTATTGCATAAAAATAAATAATCAAAATACTCAACTTACAGATAATAGGTAGGTTGTTCGAGGGTTATAGATGCCTTGCCACCTTTTTATAAAGTGGATCCCGATGACTTCACTCACCAGACGAAACGCAGAAGTATAACACTCACTTAACCCCGGTCATCAGTGAGGTCGTGATCCTTTGCATTACGAGCCTGGCCAGTGACGTGGCCCTACCACATTGAAAATCCTAACCTACACTTTAAACATCGTTACACGGAAAGTAAAAAATCATATAGCAACGGATGCGAGAATCGGCGAACTAGACACCGTACAATCGCTAAACTGCAACCATATTGTACTCAATGCAGCCGGCTACGAATTCATTTCTCATTATGGGATTGCTTTGAGCGCTTGCTAGACTCATACTCGCACAATGACGCGCAGTTAGCTTCTGTATCCTTGGAATGTTATTGAAGCCAAGCGCAAGTAGTCCTTCTATTACGTCAAACAATAAGATGCGTCAAAGATATTTTAAATACTAGCTGACCGGGCAAACAATGTTTTGCCATATAAATTATTTGTAGGGTAGAAAAAAATGTTCGGGATGACCACCCTTAACATTTAGGGGGACGAACAATAGATGTTGTTAGATTCTCCACCCTGGCCGATATGCACACAAAATTTCACGAAAATCGGTCGAGCCGTTTCGGAGGAGTACAATTACAAACACCGTGACACGATAATTTTATATATTAGATTAATCCAACTTTTTCGTTTACTTTAGCGATAATCATGTCGATGATTTCTAAAGTTTATCATGGAGAAAAACATTAAACCTTGTTACGTATTTATGTAAACAAAATTTTTAACTTTTAACGAATATGTGTAAGATTTATTTCTCGTCATTAGTAACTCAGCCAAGATGAAGTATAAGCCGTCACTCATAATATAGAATACTGAAATTTCGAAGAGTAATTTTATAGTAAAAAAAAGTAAAAATAGAGAAAGTTTATAGCAAAAAAAGGATAAAACTATAATAATTATAGTAGAAAGAAACTTATAGTTTAAAAGTAAAAAAAATCTCAAACGTAATTGAAGTCAAAAAGACTACGCGGACGATACGTTATTATACATTTTGTATCGATCGTAATTTGTGGTGATAAGTGATAGACAATACAACAGACAAGTGTTCAATTCAATATTACGACAAATAATACGAATAAAAAAGCTTAACATCATTACGGTGCAGCTATGCTAAAGGTTACAATTACGTTGTCTGAAAAAATTGCAAGTCTGCATTACATTAGCGTTATCGTCATTAAGATATACCGACAGATAACACTAATTCATATATCTGTGTAAAAGGAATTTTTACCTGGAGTTTCTCTGTGTTCTTTGACTTGGTTCATAAGCTGCTTCTCTTTGTGTTTCGATAACGCCTTTTGTAATTCGCTCTTCTGGTTTAGGACGTTCTTGCCTCTGAAATGGAAAAAAACTAATTAGATGTTTTTTTAAATCATTTGAACGTAATTATGTAACGTTCCGTTATTTTGCTAGTGTCAAAATTCTGCTCTAAACGCCCGGTTTCTGAAACACTGATCATCGTAGAAATTAACTAATCAGCTATCAAATGGCTTTTCAAATGTCATTTGAGTTGCCATAAGGATAGTTAAATTCTTTGAATTGATCATTCTGATCATTAAGAAGATCATTCTGATCAATTCCGAGTTTAAATCATCCTTTTGGCATTTTAAATAACATTTGAAAAGCAAATTAACCGCATATTAGTTAACTTCTACGATCATCAGTGTTTCAGAAACCGGGCGTGAGACATGTACATTAAAAAAACATTTTTTTTTAATTTGTATACTTCTAGAGCCGTGATAGCTCAGTGTCCGGGCGCTCATCTTTAATTCAATATGCTCGAGCAAACTGAGTTCGATCCCCGGTGCCAGCACCAATGAAGTTTTCAACTTTAAGTGCTGACTTATCACGTGCTCCGCGGTGAAGGAAAACATCGTGAGGAAACCTGCATATTTTCGAAATAATAACAAAAACAAAATCGAAGATATGTGAAGTCCGCCAATCCGCAGTGGGGCCGCGTGGTGGACTATGCCCTGATACCCTCTTTATAGAGGAGGCCTTTGCCCAGCAGTGGGACATGTATAGGCTGTTACTTTACTTTACTATACTTAAATAAGGATATAAGATAAAGGCAAAGATATCATAAATAAGGCAATAATGAAGGTAATCAATTCATAGAAAATTCTATATCCATTAACATGACTTTTTTTCTTAGCCATTATTCTGATTTAGAGACGAGTCTTAATAACAAGCCGTTAAGACTGAACTGTGCAAATTAAATAATTTACAGTTAAATGCTAAACAGACAAAATATGTTTCTTTCTACGCTACTACTATTAGCTACGCCAGGACCAGTGCCAAGCGAGAAGAAATAGAAAAATGTCTGTTTGATCGTTTGATACTTAATGTTATAAATATCACAGCTATTTTAATAGACATGTCATCCATCGAGAACAACTCTAGGACTTACTTCTATATACATTAACAAGAAGGTTAACGAACAAAAAAATCGCATTTTATAAGCATTTGTCTCCGCATCTATCGATACAAAGTACAACAGCTATTACAATCGCTGCGACGGTTACATTATTACGAAACAAATGTCGAAGCTGATAAGCAATACGACATACTGGCTGACTCCAGGCTTATCATTTTAAATTTTCGCTACCATATAAGGCAATGGCTTGTTCCACTGATAATGGCACAAATTCGTGCTAATTTATTGCATATCTTTATGATCGCCCGATAAAAACAATTTCTTAACACATTCCTTTGATACACAATTCCACGGTCTGCGTGATAAGCTTGAAGGCAACGAACCACGCGTGTTAGGATAGTATTAAGATAAAATCCTTTAGCGCCATAGTCGCTAGATGAAACGGGGACATAATATAATAATCATCTCGCTACAAACAATGAAGCGCATACACTTCACAGCCACGCTTTCGGTTTCAATTAAATATAGACTTTACAGCTATAATTTTAAAGTTAAAAAATTATCAATAGATAAAAGTAAAACGTCCAGATGCACTTCCACGGTAACTTCCCACAGCACAGAAATATGTTACTCTGACGTCAGAAAAGTAATTGTTTTATTTCATTTGACTCTTACATGTGTGACGGCGTGTACAGCGTAATATGGTTTATATTGTTATTCAAATTACATGAGCAGTTTTATTGTGATTATGTTACAGCTGTATTTATGTTACTGTAATAATCAATAAGTTTTTATATACCTACGTACGTACACAACGTACAGCGTCTTTTGTTTGACTACAAGGATAACTAAGATGTAACGTTTATCTCTATCGAGATTAGCCAAAACATACAGACAGACAGACAGACAAAAACTGTAAAAAAATGTTATTTTGATACATGTATACCGGGTATACATCCATGTGCATTTAATAAAAAGCGGTTATTTGAATATTACAAACACGCACTCCAATTTTATTTATCTATATAGATAAAATTATTTTCTACTTTAATGAGTAGTTTAAGTTTAATTGCAATTCTTACTTGGGATTGGAATAATTTATTTGGGAAATATACATTATTCACCACACTTACAATCATTATAAATATCTTGTACAAACACCAGTTTCTTCTAGTAAGAAAATTATAAATGAACAGAAAATAAATTTAAATAAAATAAATTTTCAACCTAAACGATCAATTACAACCTAAACAAGTAATCAATCATCTAAACCTAGGATGAGCAACGCGCGGCCCGCGGGCTGCTTGGGCCCCTTAAACATGGTTTATGCGGCCCGCCAAGCATTTCTAACATTGAATTTATTTTATCGAAATTCCCCCATCAATATATTGTTATAAAATTAATTTTAATAAAATGGTAGTACATACTGAACCGAAATATTTATTGTTCGTTTTTCTGTTCTTTTCTTTGTTGTTCTTACCTTGCATTGAAATTTGTATATGAAATCTTTACTTTTTTTTAATTTTATATTTTTTATTCTAATATTTATATTAAATAAAGTTTCGTAAATTATTATGTGGGGCCCGCCAAAAAATTTGAAATTTAAATTGGCCCATTGATTAAAAAGTTTGCTCACCCCTGGTTTAGAATAAACAAGTAAATCAGTAGTAAAAAATTGTGACATGCCTTGACAATAAAGAATTATTATGTGTATTCGAAAATAAAACTGATTTAATATTCATAAGTGATTTTGATAATAACTTTTTCTTTGAATGGAGTAATAATGTTGCTCTATTTGCCTCATATAGGCGACCATCCACTTATGTATCTCGCATCGGATCTAGGAGGCAATCAGCAAATTCTCCGAAGCAAACATGAACCGATACACGATTTGGCTCCAGTTCTAGGTCGACGTATATCACAAACATACTTCTGGCTATTAAACGGCCATTTTGTCACGAAGATAGTAGTTGATAAAATATTTTGTTACCCTGTTTATAAAGTAAGAAAACAGAAAATAGAAGTTGGAAATGTTAACTAGGCAGAGATAGAAATGTTATGCATAATATACGTTATAGTTTTAGTGTTTTTGTTTCTCAATATACAGCGTACACAACCGCTTTAAAGTTAGTGATTACATTGAAACACGTAAATAATATAGAATTATAATAAACAAATAATCATTTTCCATTTAGACATTGTTTTGAATGGATGTATGAAAAAAACAACAAAGAATTCAATCCACGAAGTTCAAACACGAAAATATTTTATAAATTTTATACTATTAAATTTTTTTCCAGAGATTTCATAAGTCTATGAATGTCATCCAGTTATCATTAATAAACCTTTTTCAACTGCTGAACAAAAAAGTTTTGATTATTTTCCTTTTTTGGGAAAATATCCATCGTCGCCATGTTGTCATCACAAGTCCACATTAATCCTCCCGTTGGCTGCCGGGGAATTGCTTCCTTCCGCCACTGGCAGCAGCCGGTTGCGGAAATAACTAGCGAGGCCTCAGACGAACGCAAATTGTGAGGAAATAAACCGAATCAACAGGTCAAATGCGTGAAGCAATTACAATCCGATAAATGTCCAGACCATCAAAATTCTATTAAAATACGTAAAGCCAGTGAGAATGAATGAACTATTGACATACATAACAAGTTATTACTAACAACTATAACATTTTATGAGGGTTTATTATTGAAGCTCTAACAATTACTCTTGGCCCAACTATTCCATATTCTACTCTACCATAATTCTATTGTTAAATTAAACTCGTACATTGACCAACACTTTAAAGAGTCCATAGTCAAGAGACAGAATTCTATGTTACCTCCCACAATCAAGAGTTGACAATTGATGAGCTCAAAGAATTGCACGAGCGAGAGTAAGACATTGAAGTACCTGAGTTTTTAAAGCCAGTTCAATGAGAAGATCGGACTTAAGCAAACAAGTCTCCAGTTTAAAATAAAATGGGTTAGAAGTTTAATAAAATGTAAACTCCTACGAAGAGCGTATTTCTTTTTCCCACAAGATTTTGCGAGAGAAAAATTTTTTTGCTGGCAGACTCATATTTAGATTTTTTTTTTCTAAATTATTCTTTTGTATAATGACAACGACTTTTTGACGACCCGAATGGCGTAGTGGGTAGTGTACCTGCCACCTCGCCAGAGGGTGTGGATTCGATCCCCACTACTGGAAAAATATTGTGTGATGGACATAGAGTGTTTCTAGTTTTTGAGTGTATGTGCATGTTTAATATGTATTTATTTACAAAAGAGAAGTATGTTTATCAGTTATCTAGTATCCATAGTACAAGAGTTGCTTAGTTTGGGATTAGAGAACGTTGTGTAAAAATGTATCCTAAATATTTATTTATGTCCGTCCCAATTATTTTTTTTTATTTATTTATTAAACTAACATACAAACAATTGATTGAAGAAGTGTTCATTCATGTATAATTTTAATTTGTAAGCAGCTCAGTAAAATTAAACCTGTAACAAATTATTCTATATCGCGTTTTCTCATAATTTAAATAGTTTAAAATATAATATCTGTGGGTAAAGCCAATGGAAACAGCATAGTTTCGTGTAACGTAACGAGCAGTTTCTAGAACTCTCCAATCGTATGCGCCGCCGGACCACGTGTATGTGAGGACGACAGATGTTCAATAATTATGGCGAGTTCACAGGAGTCGGCGCAGGATGCGGCGCACCTGTGCGCTAAGACATCCCGGCAAAAAACATTATAAACGTTACAACAAATACGGGCTTCAAACAGTTTGGTAACATAGCGAAGGAAGTGACTGCACCTAAGAATTTATGTTGGATCTGAGTATATGTATTATGTTGTTTAATGACTAATATCGAATCCCCCGGTTTTAAATCGTTGCCTATACACTCAGAAATGAATGGTCATTTGTCATTACTAATATTTTATCCTTCGTTTGCAAGCGTGAGCAAATTTTACAAATAAATGGTTGGTTTTGTTTAGGTTATCCCAATAAATATGTCTAGAAAGGTAGGCATGGCCAAAGTTAGAAAAAAAGAATGAATGAAACCTTTGAGCATAAGGTAATATATAAACACGTAATTTAATATATAAACAGTTGTCTTTGAGTATTTACTTCCAATACTAAAAAAAAAAAATAACATAATGGTCTGTAGCTTTTTTCGACAAATCTTCCAATAATCTAAACCAATCCAATTTTGGGGCGGAGTGGGTGCGGTCGGTTACATCATCAACCCGGCGAAATGTAAAAGTATGAAATCCTAATCCACGTAGACGGTAAGGCAACTATGGTAGGGAAACGCAACAGTACCTATTCTTTCTTGCACGAATGGGCAGGTCGGTCCGGGTAAGTACCACGACCTCACAGAAGACCGGCGTTCAGTGGAAGTGTTATATAGTGTTTCGTAAGGGGAGTGAGGTAGCCGGGGCCCACTTTGTTTAAAGCTACAAAGGAACGCAAATGCAACCCTTCGAGTGTTCTATGAGCGGCGACTAAACATCAGGTGAACGGCCAACTTGTTTGCACCTTTCTCACATAAAAAAAACACTTCTCCCTATCATCGGTCCTGTGTAAAGCGACTTCTTCGCTCGGGCAGAGCTTCGAGCAACAACAGAAGAAACTGTGTGGACATACAATAAAACAGAGCATTCACTAGTCGAAACTCGGGGAATCCCTGTAGCATACACACATCCTATGCATATGCTATGAGTTGTGTAATATAATTTCTCATAACGTGACCTCTCCCGCAGCCCCGATGCTTTCCATATTAAATGAATTTGCGCCCTTAATATCGCTCTAAGCCCGTCTCAAGGCTTTCAATCGCGGAAAACGAATGAACCACCCGAAAAAAAAACGGAGCCATCTTCCTTTTCTCAGCTAGCTCTGTAAAATGACTTAAACCCTACATAAACTAGTATAGTATGTAAAGTAACAGCCTTTATAAATTTCATTAAAAAAGTAAATTCAAAGTGCTCCTTAATACAGAGGGCATAATCCACCACGTGACCCCACTACGGATTGGCAGGGTTCATTCACATGACTACGAAATATTTTTTTATAATTTTTCAGAAAAATATGACGGTGCTCACCGTAGACACGTGATGAGCTAGCTCTTAAAATTGCAATTAATAATTTCAACTGTGCCGGCACAGCAATTTAAACTCAGATTAATCGAGTATGCGAACACTGAGCTATCATTTAGGGGGGTGAACAATAGATGTTGTCCGATTCTCCACCCTGGCCGATATGCACACAAAATTTCACGAAAATCGGTCGAGCCGTTTCGGAGGAGTTCAATTACAAACACCGTGACACGAGAATTTTATATATTAGATTAATCCATCCTTTTCGTTTATTTTAGCGATAATCATGTCGATGATTGCTAAAGTTTATTATGGAGAAAAATATTAAACCTTGTTAACTAATTCATATTAACAAAATTTTAAACTTTCCGTATATGTGTAAGATTTATTTCTCGATATTAGTAACTCAGCCACGATGAAGTATAAGCCGTCCCTCGTAATATAGAATATTGAAATTTCGAAGAGCAATTTACAAGTTTATAGAAAAAAAAGGATAAAACTAGTAAACTCGTACGTCCAATTAATTAAAAAAACGTACAAAAGAGTTGGAATTAACTGATTAAACCCGTTCACTGGCACGTTTCTAAACAGCTGTTCCCTAAAATTCTTATATTCGACGGAGAACAGCAACACCGTTTTATTTTTTAATAGCAAAAGTAGACCAGCGACGGAGGCTTCATTCTTAACGTTTATTAAAGGCGAGTTTCATCTTATTGGGGCAGGTAACTTACGGCAAAAAAAGGTTTGCCCTCACAATGGCCGTGAGCAAAGTAAAAGAAATGTGTCGCAGAAAGATTCCGTCTAAAATACGAGTGACGCACTAAAATTTGACACGCCTGCAATTTAAGTAATAGTAAGATTTTATTAAAGCAATGTTATTTGGGTATATATATATATATATATACAGTAAAAGAAGTAGTGACTGACTGTCTTCTTCAATTTCAAAAGATTTAAGAGAATTAAAATCGATCCACAAAAAATATTTATTAATTATTTTATTTATAATAAGCTAACACAGAGATTATCAGTTACGCAAGGCTCCAAGTATTCCATGTCACCAAGGGGTTTTTAATCTGATCGTCACGTAATACGATCTCAAGTAAAGCCTGACAAGGAACAAACATGTCAAAGGTAAATGACAATCGGGTCACCGGTTCTCATACCATAAGCTCTTTAAAGCAAACAAGATTTAAGAGAAGCTTACTCCACAAACTGCAGATAATTATTAGAGACAACAGGAAATGATTAACAAATTATTTAGAACAAAAAAAACATTCAAGAAATAATTTAATAGACCTTTTATAAGAAAATTGACTAAAATAATCGATAGAGACAAAGACTGGTCGTGTTTATTGAATACATTTTTTATCGCAATATAAAATTTTGAAATGCGGTTATTAAAATTGAGCTACGTTTGAATTTGAATGACAGATGACGAAATTGTGAAATAACAAAAGTAGAAATAAAGAGGAGAGAAGAATTTAAGAGAATGCTGTAAGGAAAATTTAATATAAAATTCGGTTTGACGAAAAGAATACATGGTTCGCAAGTGAAAGTAATCTAGAAAAGTTGGTAGAGGACGTCTTTCATAACGAGGCATGCAGAGACAGTACAAATTCACATTATCTTTAGAGTTAGTGATCGGCAGGGGCAGTCCAATAATGAACTTGACAGACACTTTACACAATTTTGTACCACGGAATTAGCTTATCGCCGCACACCGCAAAAAATGTCCGATTATCTCACATTCAAAAACAGAAAAATTGTTGGTGGTTCCAATAAGATTCGAACACACGACTTTCAGTCACGGGACGGACGGCCCATTCCCATCGCTCTGTAAAAAACAAGCCACAAAATAGAACAGTCGACGTCTAGCGTTATCACTCACATCCTCTGATTGAACATCAGCTCCCGGTGCAAGTCCATGCGCTGCGGGCTCTCTAGACAGGGATTGGGCAGCCGACGGGGCGCGATAAGCCCGTCACCCCCCTGGCCCTCCCCTTCCTGCACCATCTCCACTTCGACGGACTCCGACACCAGCGTGGGCGCCCCCACGCCACCGGTCGCGCCCAACGCGCCGATAGCGGTCACTGGAAACAAATGACATCTGTTGTACTTACATTCAAAACAAAGGTTCCACTCGGTATATTAAGATCATACTTTTTCTGGTCTCAACTTCATATTGAAAAAACAAATACTTGACTGGATCTGCTACCAGAAAATAGCTCAATAAACAGTTCGTGTCAACCGAAATAAGGTCATGAAAAAAGAAAAAGAAGGTTACGAAACTGTGATCACGTCGCGTGTTGTTCCAGAAAAAGGTGATAGGCGAGAAAAGGTCTGTAGGCCAACAAAGAGTACTAGGTCATGATAATTGGGACGATAAACTGCCTTCCTGAAGTCGTTAAGTATTTAGAAGCCTAAAGAATTAATGTAATAAATACGAAAATTTGCTTAAGTGTGTCTGACTTATCAAGCTACAATGGTTGATGTGTATCGAAAAAAATTAAAATACTAATGCTAACAACACATAACTATGTCACATAATTTAAAGAATTCCTTAAAAAAAAAGATACTGAACAAACGGCAAGTTTCATGTAGAAAAAAAATCGCACGCATTAAAGATTATATAGAAATATTGATTACAAAAACTTTACATACTTGATTCATTCCGGTTGAAGCTATTGATGTTGCTACAGTGTTTATAATAAAATTTCTAATTTAAAACAATTAAGCGTAGTCCAGCATATAAGTCTATATCCACGTTTCTGATCAGGCAAACTATATAAACAGGCTTACAGACAAGCTTTCCCATTATAATTTCCATATGCGACATCCGTAAACAAAAGGATTAGAAGTTGTCAATTTCAACAAATCAAAATCATTTATTATTATATTTATTCTTATATATAGATATAGACGTATATATATAATAGATATAGACGCTTGGGCGTTCTTATGAAATGTCAAAATTTTACATAAAAATTAATACGTTCGTAAGTTACCACTGCACCGGTTCGGAAAGCAGTTCCTGTTGAGAAGAAACCGGTAAGAAACTCAACAGTTGCTCTTTTCTAAAAGATTAGTTTAAAATATAATAGAACAAATATGTTTTATTATACAGATATATATCAAGTTATATGCTATCATAGTGTACTAACATATTTATAGTGTTCACTCTCAATAACCGCCCATATGTAAACAAACACCCAATACAATAACCATTGCTGTCGTAATATTTATCGCTGCCCCATGGCCTTGTTTCTCTGACGCAATCGTCTGAATTATTCATACTTTTATTAGGCCATTTGGAAAAGATCTTCCGATTCTTTATGTCGCTTGGAAAATTATGGCTAACATGGAGTAAATTACTATTTGGTATTTGGAGAAAATACTAAATTATAGTAGCAATATAAGTTATGCCTTTAACAAGAACGGAACATGAATTAAAACAAAGTCACGTATAGCAAAATTAGATTTCATCTTACGTTTTAATATTATACTATATTATATTAATATTAGTTCTACTCAAAATATAAATTGTTTATAATGTTAGCTATAATTCAATCAATCAAGAATAATCCTTAATTTTAATAGCAAAAGCAACAACTCTCTAATATTATTTTCATGCAATGTGGATATCATAACAGTTTTCGCAGTTGAAGGAATGGGCAGGTCCGTCCGGGTTAGTACTACGACCTTACAGAAGACCGGCGTGAAATAGAAGTATTACACTTCTGCGTTACGTCTTGTGAGTGAGTTAGCCGGTGCCCACTTTATTGAAAGGTGGCAACGCATCTGAAACCCTACGGGTGTTGCCAATGTCCATGGGCGGCAGTTATCACTTAAGATCAGGTGAACCGCCAACTCATTTGCCACGCTCACATAAAAAACTAGCTTTTAAACATCAAATCTATATAAAAATGAATCCCTATTTCCCTAGGTCACGCCATCACGCGTGAACGGCTAGACCGATTTCGCTAATTCTTTTTTTATAATATTCCTTGAAGTGGGAAGATGGTTCTTACCGAGAGAAAAATTTAAAAAATTGCCTGAAAAAGTCTTAAAACAATACTTTCCCAAATTCCCGTACAAAAAATTCGTAATAATACTTAAAAGTCAATTTGAACATTAATACCATACCATAAAGTTTAAGTGTTAGTGGAGGGGTTCCGGGAAGGCAAAACAAGTGAGTGACTGTGGTAAAATATCATTTGAAATGTAAACGTCTCTTTGCTGTGCACTACATAGTATAAAACAAAATCGTCCCGCTGTCTGTCTGTCCCTGTGTATGCTTAGATCTTTAAAACTACACAACGGATCTTGATGCGGTTTTTTTACTAGATAGTGATTCAAGAGGAAGGTTCGTATGTATTGTACATTGCACCCGTGCGAAGCCGGGGAGGGTCGCTAGTTAGCAATATGTTCGAAAACTTAAACCGGAATGATTATGTTTGGATCGCGACGAGGAATTGTTTTGGTCAAATTTTTAAACACCGAATATATGTTATGTCATTAGTTTGAAAAACAGTAATTAGTGTGAAAATAAACAAGATACCTAGCTGCTTTTAAGTGATGTAGATATAACCGGCATCTACGTATTCCTAGATACTTGCTATTCATTGCAAACCGCCGTTTTGCGTTCTTACGTACAAAATCGATTTGATTGTTTAAAATGCAGAAAGTATTGTTTTCTCGCTGCGACCTCCTTTTCAGATTCGTGTAGCGTGATTACGTCTGTCAACTTAGTGCTTGCAACACGATTATAGATACAATCAAAACTAGAAGAGTAATTGGAAGATCTACCTTCACTAAAAATGCAGAGACACCGTTAAACGCCAAGGGTTGATGGAACACCAATGGGAAACACATTGAGTGTTGAGCATTTTTAACTACGATTTATAGTTACATGAAAACCGGCAAGTGATCTGTTTTAACTAAATAATAATTTAAAAAACAAATAAAGTAACAATCTATAAATGTCCCAATGCTGGGCTTCCTCTATACAGAGGGTATCAGTGCATAGTCCACCACGTGGCCCCACTGCTGATTGGCGGACTTCACATATCTTCGATTTTGTTTTTGTTATTACATCGAAAATTTAACGGGCTCATCAGTTTTACTTTTGTTAAGGTCAGAAGTGTTTAATAAATCATTATTACTTTCAAAACTACTATTTTTATTCTCATCTAGTGCTGATGAATTGCTCAATATTGATTTCTTGTTTAAAAAGTCGAGGGCTTTGACGCAGAGAGGTTGGTGTCGTGCTTTCATTGTCTAAGGTTTTTGATTCATTCGAGATTGACTTAGCGGCATTTTCTGCTTCTTCTTTGATAACTTCAGGAATTTGAGTCCTATTTACTGCAGAATCTACTGAAAATTTATAAATAAAATTTTATTACTTTATTGCTATAAATAGACAAGTGTATTAAAAATACCGTAAATGATGCATAAGGATAATAGAAATAGTCATAAACATTCAACAAGCAAAAAAAAAAGTAAAGTAACAGCCTATACATGTCCCACTGCTGGGCAAAGGCTGCCTCTATACAGAGGGTATCAGGGCATAGTCCACCACGCGGCCCCACTGCGGATTCACATATCTTCGAAATATTTTTTTTGTTATTTCGAAAATATGCAGGTTTTCTCACGATGTTTCCTTCACCGCGGAGCACGTGATAAGTCAGCACTTAAAGTTAAAAACTTCATTGGTGCCGGCACCGGGGATCGAAGTCAGGTTGCTCGAATATACTGAATTAAAGGCGAGCGCCCGGACAATGAGCTATCACGGCACAATATTTAATAATATATAAGTAAAATGTAATGATTTTTGTAGGTATAGTAAAAAAGTTGTAGCTCATTTGGATTTCAATTTTTCAAGTAAATAAACAACGATCCAGTAATAATAACACAGTACCCGGAGGACCGAGCTTTGCTCGGTTTGTTTTTTTTTGGTAAATCGTATATTTTGGAAATTACATTTAGATACAAATTACTGAGTAATGAAATATGCATAATATTTTTCGATCTTACCGACGTAATAATAAGAAAATATGAACTGATGTTTTTCACAATAGAAAGAACTTAAAAAAAAAAAAGGGAAAAAAAAAATAACAAAATAACAAATCGACAAAAAATTAAAAATAAAGAAAGCAATGATCTGGAATCGAAAAAAAAGTACAAAAAATAAATGTGTAAATGATCGTGACGCGAACCACGGCCGTCTGTTTTGGGGCCGCCCGATTACCGACCGAGCTATTTTGACATTTTCTCTTGCGGCGAAATTTACCGTCATATTCGAATTATATTTTTCATTCCCTGAAAACAGGGATAAAAGGACATTTTCTAAAAATGAAACCTAGCTAGATCGATTTTTCGCCCCCGAATCTATGCACATACTAAATTTCATGAAAATCGCTGGAGCCGTTTCCGAGATTCCGATTATATATATATATATATATATATACAAGAATTGCTCGTTTAAAGGATAAGATTTGATTTTATATGAGCTCCAAACATTGCACGAAACATATTATTTAGTCAATAAATTCTCAATAAAAACACTATCCTGTATGATATACTCGCATTCGCTGTAAAATCGTGGGCACACGGAAACAGGAGAGTTATGACTTTTCAAATTAATATTCGCCCGTCCCGCCAGCTCGGCAAAGTTGCGAGGTTAACAGGAAAAACTCCCATTGCTAGAGAGTTTTTCCCACGTTGTAGTTCGAGGCCTTTGAAAGACTTTTTCATTCCGTCACCAATTTAATATTAATCTTTCAATAGATTTTCAAGTGTAGGAATTGAATTTTATAAAAATACAAATAATTATTGAACACTTTGGCCTATAGCCAAAAGTGGGTAATTTTGATGATAAATAATATCAATTATTATGTGAACACCTCGGCTGCGTCACTTAATCTGCTTTCAAATACCTAAATTGCCTTATTATTTAAACCTTACCTTTCTTTTATAATTAATCCTTTTGATTTGAATAATAGAATAGGCTCTTTTAATAAAAAATGTTTTTCACTCAGTTAATTTTTGATTCTCATTATGGGTTGATAATTTCAGTTTCAGCACGGAAGAAAATATTTATTATGTATTTATTAATACTTTACGCACAAACAGGACTGAGGCGGTCTTAATGCCAAAGGCATTATCTCCTAGTCAACCTTGAGGTGGAAAATAACGTTTTCTTCCTTATTTTAGACAACAAATAATTACAACTTTAAGTTCACAACATTATGCAATTCGCACCATTATTGGCAACTTTTATGATTTACACCTGAATGAAATAATTATTTCAATAATAAACCAGAGAACAAACAAGTAAAGAAGTCAACTATCCTACTGGCACTAATAACATTCTTAAAAATATCAATGAAATCTATTTTTTTTGTTTCAAAGGGTTGGCATTTAAACAAGCGGTTAATAGAGTCATAAATCTTTCTCGTCTAAAACCTAATTGGTGGTTCATAATTTAAAACGCACAAGATAAAAAAATGCTATTAGAATCATCACAAGAACCATCTTCATATCAAGCACTATGCTTATTTCCTTGTGTAATACTGTTATCGTAAGAGAATTAAAGCACTTTGACATAAATAAACTAATACTAAACACTAAATGAGGTCAATACTAGCGATAAATATAAAAAAGCGTTAGTAATACTAACCGTCGTGTCAGTTGCGTAAAGAAATGTTTGCATAATAAATGCCGTTTAGTGAAATTACCAGTTGATCTTTATCTTTCGGAATGGAACACGTGAATGTGTGAACTATAGATATACATAAGTGTGCAATGATATGTAAAGTGTGTATGTTTGTGTGAAGTGTATAGTGTGATAAAAATTGTAAACATTTGTCACGGTGTGCAGACTTCCTATCCGCAGTAAATTTCCAATTGATCACACGTTGCCTAACGCTCGATATGCTTGTTTTGTGCATCTTATTTTACGGAACAAGCTAGCTTTAGAACAGTTTTCGAAAATCATCAGACCGAAGATTTTGTAATCGACATATAGTGACACCCATTTCGACGTTTTAAAGTGATAAGTGGCACGCAAGATTGCGTTACGCATTCACGGGGGCTTAGAGGTCTCATATAAAACGATGTCAGAATACGCACCAAAGCCAACGTCAATAATAATACTTCTCCAGAGTTGACACTTACATATTTACGATAATAACATTAACGTTTATTTGTATATAAAGCGCACCTTAAATATATACATGTGTTTAATCGATGAGCTACAGTCTGGGTTCTCAAAATATTTCTAGCAACAAACAGATACTGTCGAACTTAAAACCTATTTAAATTATCAAATTGTAGAACTTATGAGAGTAACGCAGGACGAATTTTATATTTTCCTGAATTAAATTTTTGCCTACACAAACCCCTATATTATGAGTCCTATTGACAAACATATTAAGAATCAAGAATGCTATAAATGTAGATAGTTTTCTAAGCTGAGATGTCAAAGATAGTGATAATGGGTCCACATTCTTAATTAAATCGTTCATTTCACTTAAGACTGGCACATCTTAAGTTATGGATTCTTAAAACTTGGTAAACATTTTAAATAATTATTCCGAACGAGCATACTTTTGATATTCATGAATTAGGATTTTAACGTAGTTCAGTTTGTGGCATATTTTTATCAAATTTGAAGTTTGTTAACAACTGTAGAGTATGCCGTGAAAATATCTTTTAAAGCTGTACAGAACTAGGGATTACAGTATTTCGAAGACTTGATCTGATATCTGATTTTTTAACTTATTTTGGATTTAAGTAATCTTTGATTAATTCGCAAAATCTAAAGGTCTCGCTTAATTTTCTAAACTAACTATATGCTATAGTGAAGGGAGAGTGAAAAGCATACATTTTTATGAACATAACATAAAATTACAGTTTAAAATAGTTTTTTTTTTACTTTACCACTTCACTATAACAACTAAGATGACTGTCATAAAACATCATATTATGTTAGAAACCACTATTGCCTTAGCTACACAGCGTGAGTAAGATATAGACATATTTATAAATATTTTATGTAACATAAACAGTCAAAACGTTACTTTTCTTTTAGGAAAGAAAACAAAAAAAAGCGCATAAAATGTGAATTTTCGTAGATTAATGGACAAAAACTTTCGGCGCTGCAAGCTTCAAACCTGCGTTTTCTGGGTAACGCGCCCAGGCTTTAGCAACTAAGCTAAACGGCCGATGACCTCAAGGCACGAAAATCTAGTGTGCACACATATTATATAGTAAATGTATTTTTTGTTCATTTATCTACAAAAATTCACATTTTTAGCGTATGTGTATTTATAAAAATCATTTATCCATTATAAAATGCTTAAAACTTCACTTTAACTAAAAACTTTAACTTTAGTTCCACCTAGGTTGCTCTACACACTCGATATTTGAATTTTCTATTTTCTATGCGAAAAGTTGTCAAACGAGCAGACGGTTCACCTGATGTTAAGTGAATACCGCCGCCCATGGACATCTGCCACACCCGAGGGTTACAGAGGCGTTGACAACCTTTTGAAAATTGGGCTCCGGCTACCTCACTCACTAGACGAAACGTGAAAGTATTTGTCATACTTTCACTTTACGCCGGTCTTCTGTGAGGTCGTGGTACTTACCCGGACGGGCCTGCCCATTCGTGCAACAGCCGAGGCTGCTGCGTGGCCCTACCACCGTAGAATACAAACCGAGCGCCCAGGTACTGAGCTACCACGGCTCTAAAACTAAGGTATAATCACTAAGGCAAAAAGTTATTAAGTCTTAATTAAAAAACTGTCTTACGTAGTGTAAAATCTTGGAGTATCAGTAATGAAGCGTTACGTACTATACTTTCACTCTTTATATGTAAACGTGCCCCTGGATGCTTAATTACAATAATTTACATTACACTATTGCCAACTGCTAGAAAGATACAATCGCGCGTAATCCGGAAAATCACAATATAACCGACCATTTAGACAATTATGGCATAACGGTAAAGTACCTACCCAAAACATTTAAACAAATTGACTGTACTGGTACATGTTTAAACATGACGTTGCTTTGATGCATCGTAATCATACAATGACTAAAATTTTCGTGAACTAATGACGATTTGAACATAAACTAAAATGAATTAAAAGTTAGGAACGGAAGTTCCTTAAAAAATCTGTTAGCCTCTAACGGTTTTTCGCGCAAAAGTAAAGATATGATAATGGAAGTAATGAAATAAGCCAGCTGATAAATATAGCTTATCTATCCAT